TTCTGTATGGTGCCCATGTGATCTCCTTCGCTTATGGTTTGAGACCCTATGTGACAATGATCGTGACACGCGACAAGGTGAATTTTATCTGTTTTGCACTGGAATTTTTTTGAATAAAGTCTCCAGGGATGCTTAGAATGCTTTGGATGCCTCACTCAAGTTTGATGCTCAAATATGTCTACCCCAGTGCTTTTTATAGACGCAGACATCTTGTTTGGGGTCATCTTTCAAGTAAAATTTGCTCCGCACTTCACTAGGGTGTACTTCCCACATTCTTGCAGGAGGTAGGCGCCAGATTTACTACTAGCATACTACTGTTCATGGTGCTTCCACTCTAGGTGAAATATGCGACACGGTTTATTAAGACAAATTTTCTCTGACAATACGATAATTAGCTGCCATATGATTATCAATTTCCGAATCGCTAAATCAAAATGGTAAGTGGGAGGTGAAGGGGCCCAAATTGAATTTTGTTTGGTGCAGTGAATGGTTGAGAAACAACAACGGAGTCCTAGATTTGGCTTTAAAATCTGTTCAACCAGTTTAGCTCAGTTCTGAGTCATTGGAGTTATGGATTGTGTCCCAAGTGCTCAATGTTCCCATGAGGACCTTGGGATCTCCAATTTTGTTTTACTCTATCACTCTATACAGTATGTTATCTACGGCTTTTTCCCGGGGCAAGCTCATAGGCTTTTGAAGAAACTGGCACCTCTGAAGTCAGTAAATCCTACAGAAATCTGGAGATATTTCACCTCGATTTAACAATCTGAATGAGGGACGCCAGAAGAAATGCGTCGGTGCCGCCGAAAAACGGTTGGAGGGAGGTCGCGGCAGCTACTACCTTTCACAAGGAAATAAACGCGATTAAGTTAAGTTGGTTAGTTTAAGCTGCATACAGTGTGGAATAGGGCCGAGTCCTTTTTTCAAGCAGCGGTCCAAGTTGTAAAAACATGTGAAGAATTTGACTGCGGTTACATGTTCCTATGTCAAGTTTTTTTTGGTGTAACTAAGTCATAAACACCCTATTTTGTAAAAGTACCTAAGGCCAAATAATGCTAGCACAGTAGAAGAAAGAATAGACTGGATCACGTTTTTCGTGCCCATCATAATCGTTGACCGTAAAAAGCTGTGCGACCCTTCCTCTGTCTGATTAGCTTTCAACATTTCTGACAGGGATAGCCACATTCAAATGCCAAGGGCCGATAAAAATTATCTGTTCGAAACACCCGCCTAACAAAAACATTTGCTGGAAAGAGAAGTGCTGATGTTGCATTGTGGTCAAGGGCAATTTGCGGGGACTTGAAAGCCTCGTGACCAACCTAATCACTTGCTAAGCCCGGAACAACATATATATACCACCTTCCTCGCAGAAAAGTGGGAATGTCAAACTATAAATATCTTTGAATCCACTGAAAAATTATGTTGCTTGGCAAGAAGTGAATTACTATTCCTTTCTTTTGGCGTGGAAACGTATCGTTTGACTGATTCTGAGATGCGAATTGACGTCATCAATATTCTGATGAAAAGGCTAGTGCAAGCTAAGGGAACCTATTGTTTCTCACTTCCACTTCGGTTGCAAGAAGGTATGCCAATTAAATTATGATAAATCACTGTGAACTGTTTTCCTTCAATCATAGATTTTATTGTCAACGAGTAAATAACAGGGCAAAAATCACGAAGGTTCGATGGGTGTTGTCACGTGAGGAGGTTGACGTAGGCGGCCAAACGGTCAGATTGGACAAACGAAAGCCCATGATAGCTGCGATCGAAGCTACGCAAATAAAAATCAATCAGGACTAGGATTAGAGTAATCGGTGATGATCTAAAAATAAGGCGGTATGCACAAGTGGAAGTAAAAGAATAATGTTACAAAACTACATGACAAATGAAGTTGAATATTCAACCCACGAAACTAATACAACGTTGATCAAACTACTTTTTGGTACTTAAACGATCTTGTCTCAAATTTTCCAACGTTATTATCAAACGTGGTATTAAGAGCCTTTCCAATTTCACAATGGGAAACAAGTTGTCTCCAGAACCCTCACGTGACAAATTATCGAAGTCTGTCGGTGTTCTAAAAAGTGACATCCAGATTTTGTTTTATTGGATACTTTGAGGACAGATGGATGGATATGTAGTGAACAGTCCCTTCGGACCGGCTTTGGTTACTGTCTCGGTGGGTTATGTAGACGGAAAATTATCAGATTAATCCAGATGCTCGTGATCAACAGATGTTGATGACATGTTTGAAATATGCGCAATTTACGATTAAGTGCATGAATTTCACCAACTTCTGAACGGTAGCTGCAGCTATTTAAGGTTTACGGTGGGATCGGAACGAACTTAAAGGATCGCATTCCTGTATGTGATGCTTAGCAGACAAAAAGATAAAGTTTTTCTCACTAGCTGAACAGAAAGATGCGTTGGTGGAAAGTAGATAATCTTACCAGTTGCACTAGTGTAGAAGCTGTAACCACCCAAAGAGATGTTAACTGAAAGCTGCAGGCGATTATTGTAAACGTCAGGGAAAACTTGAGCCAGCGCCGAGCTTACTGAAAAGCCGGCATACCCCTTTTTGAAATTCAGAAAAAATGAAATGCCAGTGCTTATTCGAAGACTTTTGAATGCACCTGCTAAACAAACGTACAACAATGACAAATTAGCTGTCTTCGGAGAAATTCCACCCTCCGTTCCCCCATCTCACCAAAGAAAGACTACTTATACTGGTTATCAAGTTTCACCTTAACCATCACTTTGATTGTACCTGCGAACTTTAAACATACTGGCAGAAAAATCAGGCATTTGGGAACCAGAATCAAAGAGTTCTTCCAAAAATAACTCCAGAGGTCTCCTTTGCGTAACATAAAACAGTGTGGCCGAATTTGCATTGATTTGGCAGATTAGTATATTCTTCTTTCGTCTGTCACATAAGTTTGTAACAACAATCTTTTATTTCAACATGTACGCACCCGCCTTATGTTTAGATTATTATCGATCACTCTGATTCTAGTATGGATCGATTTTTATTCGCGTAACTTCAATCGCTGTTATCATGAGCGTTCGTTTGTCCAATCTGACCGTTCGGCCGCCTACGTCAACCTCCTCACGTGACAACACCCATCGAACCTTCGCGATTTTCGCCCTGTTATTCACTCGTTGACAATATTATCTATGGTTGGGGGTTATCAAATGCTCAATAGGAAAACAGTTCACAACGAGTTATCGTGCGTTCACTTGTCTGACTGTCCAATCACTGAGGTCTATCCCCTCACGTGACAAGACCTAGCGAACTTTTGTCAGTTCCGCCCAATCAGTCATTTATTGAGTGTAATGCCGTATCACTAAGCGCAGATTTGAGCTAAGTAACCATGCGAAAAACATTTTGCATACTAGGAGGGCTCCCGAAATGTAATTATTTTAAGGAGAGAATACTGTGAAAGGTCTTCCGGAAAATGTTCACTTGTAAGTTTTCACTGGAGATCTATCCCATTCTCCATGTTATTCTGCATCCAGCATGTTTTGCTAATACTTACTCAAGTGACTTGAATGTTTCAGAACAGAAGGTGATGAGACCGCTCTTGTGTGTTGCAATCGAGCGACCTACAAATGGGACTCGAATCTACAAGATTTTCTCACCTTTTTGGCCCGTTGGATAGAAATTTCCGAGGGTGGATCCAAAACTCAACTAAGTGGAGCGCTACCTAGAACCGAGTGCGAAGCCTGGTTACTGAAGAAAGTACACAAAACCTTTAAAAAAATGAACAGAGCTTATTTAAAACAGCACTTGCATCAGATTCAAAAACGGATCAGTGAATAAAACACCAGTTGGCGACAGTTCAACAACCGCTAAGCAGAAATGCTTCACTGTTATGTATGGATTTTGCCCTGTAATCGCTAAGCAACATTTGTGGCCTTTTGAGGTCAGCCACGTTTTAACTCACCTGCCTCCAACGTCTCCGACACATTTCACACACCCATAAAGGAAAACACAGGAACTTGATCGAAGAGTGAAATAAACGAAGCCACATAATAAATACTCACCAAGTACCCCGAGCTTTTATCACTTTGATGCACAGCGAAAACGTGTGATCATGGATTCGCACTGACTGCTCAGTACTTGTGACACTTTGGTCATTGTTGAAAAAAGCAAAGAACAAGGTCGCTGAACCTAACAACACTTCCGAAATTTACATTTTGACCCAGAAATACAAGGCTCGAAATGGAAGCATTTGACAAAACGAGTAGATGCTGATTTGATGAGTCACATAAAAGTGGTGGATGATTGTCCGCCACACAAGAACCGCTTACTGAACTTATTTTTTCTTTGAACCAAGTTCAAACTCAGAGGTTCGGAGGCCAACTGATTGAAAGAAGTATATATCCAAAAATATAACATTTTGGGATAAGGCTACATTGAAGGGGAATTCACACTGGTGTCGTTAACCAGTTAATCAATAGCACGCGATCCATTTGGAAAGGTACTTTCCATCGTCATTATCCTCATCATCATCATCGACAATATGACATCAGTGTTCAACACCGACGCTTCACTGCCATACTTTCCAGGCTTACTTTTAGCCTTCTACACAAAATTATAGTCGATATCTCGTTCTACAAGTACAGTGAAGCCAACAAACACTGCACAGCTGCCTCCCTCTTATTGAAAGCCACCAACAACGCACACCTCATGAAAATCAAGGGAGTCTGGATTCCGCGACCTCTCGAATGTAGTTGTGCACTTAAGCCTTCGAGCACGAGCAGCTGATCAGCAAGGTATTCATCTCGTACTCACAGGGGACACAGTGCCTATCGATCACACAGTTTAGATCACATGTTTACGTGTTGACTGACTCCTGATGATTTCTCAGATGGGAGATTTACTCATCTTGTGAATTATTCTTAATTATTTTATTACTTACGTATTATTTATTATTTATTTGTATTAATTTTTGAAATGATTTTTCCGATTAGCTACATCGACTTTTTCCCAACTTCAGTATCTTCTCTATCCGTGCACATCGAAGTAAGTCCGGAGGCGATATCGGTACCAGCAGGAACTCGAGTTCGCATCCGGTGCAGCATGGACGGTGCTAACTCAAAAGTGGCTCTTGTCCTGTTGCGCCAGCGCTTTGGACAAGCCAAAGCAGAATCCGTGGATCACAGCGCGGGCAGCACGGTGATTGGGACAACGCAACAACATCTGGAAGAAGATTTCTTTTTGGTGATGACAGATCAAGACAACAGAGCTGAACTGTTTTGTGGGGTAAACGGAGCTGGAACAGACACTACTTTAGTGCGATCCACGGGTGTACGGATGAACGTAACGTGTAAGTTGCTTTGAGGCTGTTTACCCCTAAACTCTGATTGTACCGGATGATGGACTATTATCTACCAACAGCCAAGGGAATCTTAGTTAGTGCACACATGGTTGGACCGGCACCAACATCGGTGAAGAAGTAATTTGCCCAGTGAGCTAGGAAGCTATAAGTAATCGTTCCAAAATGTCAGAATTTACGGGAACATACTCCTCTTTCTTAAAAACGAAATACCCTTGTGCAATCGAAGTCCGTCGCTGACCACAGACATGGGTAGTTTGTCTAAATTGATTGGTGTGGCGGACGATACAGCCCAGATGCTCGTCTGCTTTTGTGGCCAAAATGCATGAAGTCGTTCGTGAACGTAAGTTCGCCAGATTTTGTGTACGAATATCTGCCCTCACGTCCCTTAGAAGCCCTAGTTACTTCACTATTCTCCCCCACCTGAATATAGTTGATGCTCCGACATTTTAAGCTGAACATTCACTGGTAACCGTGACCGTATTATAGGTTAAAAGGCTGCACAGTATAGTGCAGCCGAAAGATTTCGCCATGTGAAGATGCTTTTGTTTTGGCACATTTGGCAAAACTTTTGTTTATGACGATCTGATAACAGTCTTTATAGGCCGCGCAAATGAATTCCGCGACCGCGATGCAAGATTCTGCTCTTCGTTTAACAAAGTTGGCTGGTTTTCGCACTAGGAGATACATGAAGATATATGTTCTTATCAAATGTCTGTAGTCCCTGAGGATACTCCCAAAGCAACCCGTTTTGAAGATAAGCCAAGACCCTTGAGATAGCTGAAAACAACGTCCCTCCTTCGAAAAAGGGTTACTTCCAAAAGTATTAAGTGTCCCTTATACCTCATTTTGGTTTCTGTTTGAGGATCGACGAGATTGTCGTTAGCGTATACTCACCATGTTCTCTAATTAGTCCATAATCTTTACATTTCGCAGCCTTGATAAGCTAAGTACATTTAGCAACAGATGGGTGACTGACTGAAATGTCCGCAAAAGACATTGTCTTTTTTACAGGAACGCGTTCCTTAACTCGACTTTAACTGTCTAAAAAATTCCACGCATTACGAAATAATAGGATTTAAAGGGAGCTAACGCTATGCGGTGGCCTGTTCTTCAAGATGGGTATCGTGATGATAAATGTTTCATCAGTCATCGAAAGGATAGCATCAGTTCGTCGCGGTGTAGTGAAACAGCGTGGACACGCTACCCAATATATCTAAACACTCCTAGATAGTAATGATGAGACATAATGCTAGAAGTTTAGCAAACTGAATACCCCTGCTGTTGGTATTCCATTCAAAGGCGCCTCCCTTATTGTATGCTGCAATGACGTTGATATATTACTGGTTAGAGTGACGAAGATGATGGTGATAGTGATGATAAAGCACCGCTACAGAAGTCACCCGGGAATGATCCCGACCCGATTCAGTATTTTGCTCATTTTCCTAAATCTAAGTGCTTGAGCTACTGCTTTTTTATTTTATCTCCGAAAAGAATTACGAAGGTTTCTGCAACCTTCAAAGAAACAGTAGAGAATCCGCAGGTGTTCTTGCGTTGCGTGGGCCTCCAGGAGCTCAGAGTTGCAGCGTCAAGAGCTATACCGTGGCTGATTCCGGACTGATAGAATGTCCTAACAGAAAGATTTATCGTCATTTTATACTCGGTTGAAGCGATGAGAATAGTTTGTTTCCTTTTTTAGAAATAAAAGCGTTTGCTTGGTTGTTCACTTCCTCTGTATGACACAGCCAATGGTTTTCGCTAGTGTATTCCTCCCTAAAATCCACACGGATTTTAACTGTCACTGTTTAACTGTTCAGAGTACTCTGTTATTGGCTAGACTTCCGATGTAAAACAGATTCTATACATTGTGTTTTCGCATGCTGGGAACATGCGAACTTTTACCAGTTCCTTCTGTGCCGCAACTATTCCGGGGTTTGGATATTTTTGTATTTTTCACCCCACTTTGTACATAGGCAACTTGGTGCACCGAGGTGCATTTACGAGCGAACAGTGTTTTATGCCCGATTTCACACATCCACAGATTCACAGTATCTTCACTAGTTCTTGCATAACGAGACAGGGTGTAACATTGCCTCGTCAGCTTGTACTGAAATTACCTAAAACGTGTTTATGGTCTTCCTGGTCTAACTATCTCGCCGATCACCAGAAAAGTATGCACAAAATTTGTCTGATCAAAATTTTGCAATGTTGGGCTTTGCAACAAGTTCTTAGGGATGCTTGACAAGTGGAACAAATCTGACCTGCAATTGTCTCTCATAAACAAGCCCTTTTTGGGTGCAGCTCATTATGAAAAACGCCGATACCTTGAACAACTCTACATGCTGCTAACCAGACTCTAAGCTCCAATCAGATGGATAGTAAATCGTTGCACATCGTTGGGTAGGGTGCCATTACCATACGTGAGTTGACAGGAGATGATGAACTGAATGAATTAATTAAGCGGTAAAGTTAACATGAATGATTGCTTATGGCATAATGCCCTATTCGGACGTTGAATGTGCTAGGCCAGATGGGACGTCTCATGGCTGCTACACTAAACCTGACCAGGCGATTCAATTGAACGTATAGTTGCTAAAATAACAAATCATGGCATTCGCGACACTGTCAACCCTCGGATGGCAGCTGCTGTAAATTAGCGTGAGCAAAAACGGTGAGCGCTGATTATACACAAATACTACTACAAATACTCCCACTTCTACTACTACACGATATAAAATCTATTTCCAGTATGCTACGCTGCCGACAGTGGTCTAGGTACCACGTTGACAAGTATGCAAACTATGTATTATTACATGTTTTTCAAAGCTCAGAAGTATGAGGCGTACGGACTGCTCACTCTACATCGGATACCGGCATCTTACTGAGCGAATTTTCTTCCACTGTCGAGCCGAGATTTTTTAGTCTTTCGGAGACAAGGATTTTCGCCTTTGGTTCTTGATGTGCTAAATTCTCGCGGATTGAGTCCTCCTTACGATTACAATAAACTGGCGGTGGCACCTCATGCCTTCAAAATTGCAACGCTCTCCTTCCTTAACGTGCGCACGACTGTCTGATCTCTTGGAAGCTCATGCCATCCACTCGGCAAGCCTTTTTCAAGTCCACTATAGTAACCGTCTATATTAACGAATAACTGAACAGGAACGGTACTTTCGTCACTTGTGTATTAGTCGTGTTCCGGTAGTGAAGCATCAGTGTTGAACACTGATGTCGTGCTGTCGATGATGATGATGAGGATGATGATGGTGATGAGTACTATGCGACATTTTCAAGGGAGGCGCTTTATTATAACGTGAAACCTCACAGTAAAACCGACTAAATCCGAATCGATTGCCTGATTGATTGGATGATGATGATGATGATGATGATGATGATGATGATGATGATGATGATGATGATGATGATGATGATGATGATGATGAGTACTATGCGACATTTTCTAGGGAGGCGCTTTATTATAACGTGAAACCTCACAGTAAAACCGACTAAATCCGAATCGATTGCCTGATTGATTGTGTGATATTATGTGTCAGGTAAGACTCAATATCGGCTCACTGATTGGTTGGTTGTGGGTCTCTACTAAAGCAGTGAACTTGCAGAATTACTGTCTCAATCTAAAGGCATTTAATCGAACCATCTGTTATCATTTACTCTGATAAGTGACAATGATGTTGGCCGATTTGGCCTGCGTTGAGTGACTACTTGCCATAAGGCAGTAAATGGCTGCAAAACTTAAAATATACGGACATGCGAGAATGTGCAGTAAGGTAAAATAGTGCGTTGGAAGAAAGAATCCATGAATATGCTGCTGTCTTCTCCGAATTAACAGTCGCAATAGTTCGGAGAAACTGACCTTTAGAACAGATATAGATGAACTTGTTAAATGGATGGTACACATTACAGGAAGGGTTGTTGTGATATTATATTTTAACCCCCAATGGAGAAAACCAACTTAATCAACACCGCTCGTATGCTCTCACACACACTCCCTCTCACGGATTAGTCCCACAAATTGGTAACTGCTTTGAGTTTCGCACGGTACTCCTGATCACCAAATCTGACTACAGTGATGCAAGATTAACCTTCCCGACTTTGTAAACGGTAATTGTGAGTGAAACAGCCTTAAGTTACACTATAGCACCACTATGCTATTTCACAAACATGTGGTACAACTACAAATGGAATTTCAACGTCATGCTCAGACGTGTTGACTTTGCTGTGCGTTTCAGATATATATTTATAGCTAAAAACGCTACCAATTCAGATTGCCACAAAGAGGTTGAATGGGCTGTCAGTCACTCATTGGTATGACAAGCTTTGCACAGCAGTACAAGTGGTCCGCGGGATACTGCAACCCTGTTTGCTGTTGGTTAATAGCATGGCAGTAACTGCAGAGTTAGAACGTTCATGAAGCCACCATGGGGCTTGAGTACAGCTATAATCAACACAATGCAGCCTAGAGAGTTGAAACAATAATTAGACAATTTACACCGGAAAGGAAGTTGGTTCGCCTGCTCCAGAGTTTTTCATTAAGTTAAAAAAAAGATCTACCAGCATCTGAAGAAGAGCACTTGCAGTCCAGAAAAAAGCAACTTATAGTAGCTACAGGCTTTTTGTAACCTAACTTTAGACTTTAGGGAGTAGGCAGACAGTGTTTCTGATATTACACCTTATCAATACAAACAAACAGCTGGAGGCCGTCAAAGTGCCAGAAAGAAGCCGAACTGCCTGTTGTTGCTGTACGAACCAAAAACCGACTTGTTGGCCTTCTACGATATGCCAACAACGAGACATGTTCCGTCGGTGTGAGGGCGCGGTGATGGATGTGCACTGCCGATCCTGATAGTGTTTACAAGAACCACAGCGGGTTATCGTAAACGGAATCAAGGGGAACTGTCAAAGACCTGGTACATCCCTACAAAAACAGATGCGACTTAACCGTGATATGAAGT